TGAATAAATTGCAGGCTGCTAAGTATGGTAATGACATTTGGTCTAATGTGCATAGGCCGATCGCTTCTTCTTCATGGAAGATTTTGTGTAGTAGCGCAAATGTATTAAAACCCTGTGTGAGATGGAAAATTCATTCTGGTACTTCAGTGAATATTCTTAAAGATATATGGATTTTAGACAAGAGGTTGGAGAAGTGGCCTACCTTCATTGCTATAAATGAAGCTGAATTTCCCTCGCTGAAGAATTTTATTACCAATGGGAGTTGGATTAAGGAAGAGTTGAAAAAATGTTTTGGGACCTCATTGATGGATACTATTACTGGTACTAAGATTTATTCAAATATCTTGAAGGATGAGCTAGAATTAATCAATAATTTCACTGGATCTTCTATTACGGCTACAGCATTCCGAGTGCCTACAGATTAATCTGTCCTGTATAGGAATGGAAGTGGTTGAAGAAACTAAAATTCAATCCGAGATTGATTTCTTTTGGTGGCGGATGTTAAAAGAGGCAATCCCAACTACAAATTTTCTAATGAAGAGGAGATTGCTGAATGACAACCTTTGTCCGAGAGGTTGCGGGATGGTTGAGGATACATAGCATGTGGCTATCAGGTGTTGCAAGATAGCTACAACATTAGCCTTACTTAATCAATGGGGCTTTTGGATTCAAGGTTTCTCATTTATGCAGGAATGTGTATAGAATCTGAAAAGGTTTGTTAAAACAAATCCTTTCATAGCCCATCTTTATTGTTCTTTGATATTTTTCATATGAAAAAGTAGAAATAAAGTTAGTTCATGATGGAAATGAACTTGGCTTGGTGGAAAATGTTTCTAATGTGGTTTGTTTTGCATCAATTTCATCTAAATGTAATCTTTATTCGGATCACTGGGATGCTAACTAGCTTTCTAAGCTGAATTCTTCATTTTGGCATCCCCCTCCACCCAGATGGATTAAGGTCAACATTGATGTAACTTTATATCATTATAATGATGCTGGACTTGGTGGTGGTGTTAGAGACTCTAGAGGAAGACTGTTGCTGGACTTTGGTTATAAGTGTTTGCATTGGGAATGTGGCTTCTTAGAATTATTGGCTTTTCGGCATTTGAAGAACATGATTAAGGAGTGGATGCTGGATTTTAAAGGCATTATCATAGAAGGTGATAATTTGAATATTGTCAACTATCTCAATAAATCAGTTGGAAATCTTGGCTTGCCAAATGAAGAGGAAAGAGGTGAAGACTTTTCTTTTCTTAATGATTTTGGGAGTTTTTTAATTCACTTTGCTAATAGAGATTGTAATAGGTTAGCACATATGTGTCCTAACTTAGCCTTAAAAGGTGATTTTTTTTTGTGGGAAGATTTAAATAATGTTCCTCCTATTTTTTTTCTTTGGTTAAGGAGGAAAGTGATAGGGTTTCTATCACTAAGTAGAATGTAATAGGTTCTTTTATTTAATTGCATTTGCAGCTTTAAAAAAAAAAAATACAAAACATTTGACTTAAGAAATAAAAATAAATAACTAAAAATTTTATATTCTTGTAGAATCATCATATTTTACCCAGTCTTAAGTCGATCTTTTATTGCATAATATAAGATGTAATTGATATGCTAGTGCACACAAAATAAATATACAATAAGTGCTAAGAGAAATAAAGTAAGATCCAATAATATTTGTTACTAACAAAATCTTTAGCTCTACCTTCCAGATTTCAACACTCTCAACTCACCCTTGGTGAAAGGAAACCTTCTTTGAGGGTCGCATATGGGACTTAACAAGGTTTATATGGTCACATTTTTAACATTTGCAAGCTCTTAGATCACCAAAGCAAAAGAGAAAGAACTTGTCAATGAAAGCCTCTTATTTATAAATAGCTAAGTGGAAGGTTGTGTTGTTAGAAAAGTTGCTATTTGCATGTTTTACATTCTTGCAACTTGTATAGTTTTGATGATTCCAAATATTATTGTTTTATGTGTTGTTATCTCCTAACATTTTTGGAAGATTTGTTTTTGCTCTTGTGTGTACTAATATTTCAAGAAAATCGAACTCCAGACTACGAAGACTTCAAATCAAATTCAGTATGAGATACTATGAGAATTTGAAGCTTGTGCTTTTTATTTGAATTAAATTTGAGAGGGAGTGATTGTAATTGAGTGAATAAATTCACACACACGAATGGAGATCTTGAAAAAGTTTTTGTATTGATCGTACGGGATGAACGTTGTTCGTACAGGACTATCAGATCAGTTATCTCCTTGTAAGAGCAATGGAACGGACAGGAACTGAATTGGAAAATTTTTCTAAGTCATGATCGTCCAGACGAAATCATTTTCGTCCCAGGACGAGTTGCTCTCTGTAAAAATTTTGTCCAGACGAAGTCCTGTTCGTCCAGGACGATGGGAACCGACTATGGCAGTTTCTGGCAACGTTCTGCAGTTTTCGGAACCAACTTTTGATATAACTGTTCGTACCGGACAAACTTTTTTCGTACGGGATGAACCTATTTCTTCCAGGACGAAATTGGTTCGTACAGATGCACAAATGGTTCGTACGGGACAGTTTTTTACATAGTTCGTCCGTACTAACTCAATTTAGTACGGGACTATCCAGTGCATAGAAAAACATGTTTTTAGCAATTTTTTGGGCGGTTTTTCATGTCCTTTCTATATAAGGAGTCCTAGAAACTATTACAAGTGCCTTTGGAGTTGTTTTCTCTTGAGAGGGATCATGAGAGTGAGAGTTTGGGAGAGACTGAAAGAGTGAAGAGTGAGAGATCAAGTGAGGGGTTTGTGAGGGATTCACAAGGTTACTTGAAGAAGAAGATCTCTTTGTTTCTTCCCATCTCCTTTGAAGGCTCTCAAGTGAAATTCAACAACATAGGTCTGGTTCTCTGCAGACACTTGGAGAGTGTAAAAGGACGACAAAGTGTATCTTTGACAGCCATTGTGTCTTTGAAAAGTTTATTTTTTAAACTTTAAATTTAACTTGCATTAATAATTAAAAAGGTTTTCTAAAAATCCAAGAGTAGAAGTATAATTTTTTAAATTTCCAATTCACCCCCCCCTCTTGGTTAGCCTTGGGACAATTAATTAGGCTTAACATCCTAATTCATATTGAACGAGTTCTCACATGTGTCACATCATCATCATTAATGTGATGTTAATATATTTATTGAGGCAAAATTAAAAATAGGGCAGTAACTCTACATTTACTTTCCTCGTTCATGTTTGGTAGTTGCCTTTAATATCATTCACTCATCCTTTTTTGTTACTTTTCTATCAAAGGGTAGGCTGAATGCAGGAACTAAATGTTTACTTGCATATGCTCTAATAGGTAGCTGATGGATCATAATAGAGAGACTTGCCCTCAAAGGAAGCACACAATGAAACTCACCTAACAATCAAATCAGTATCACTCTCTTATAACTCATAGGAGAATAACCCATTGTGATTAATAGGAGCTACTCAGCCGGCCACACTATGGAGCTCGACCATTTGTGAGGCGGATGAGAAATTCTTCATCAAACTAGCAAATCGACACTTGCTACATACATGAACTACTAAGTCACTCACTCTCTCCCTGAGTGATCAATCAAATAAAAACTCGCCATGTTCAACCACAAGAAAGCTTATACTATCAAGGATCCTCACTTTCACATGATTGTCTGATCTGCGACATCCCCCTCTCCATGATAACATGTCATTCGTCTCTCTCTCTCTCTCTCTCTCTCTCTCTCTCTCTCTCCCTCTCTCTCTCTTCTAAAGTAATTGAACATCTTTCACACTAATCATCGAAAACATCTGTAATCCTGCTGACCACAGATCCCTCATCTCAGCACTCACTCATAGAGTTGCCCCAACTTACTTGACTACTCGACGGTATTGAGGTCACTCGGAGACCACTCACTAGAGCCTTTTAGGCCTTGCACTCTTTTAGTCAATCAAAGGACAACACACATTAGGGTAGTCTATGTAGCATTATACTTTTTTTTGGTAATCTTTTTGTAGCCCTTAGATTCCTATACATAAGGGTTCTAATGAGCAAGTAGAACTTTTGATTGATTTTAGTCGATTCCATGTTGGTTTAAGACTTATAGTTTTATTGTGCTTTTTATAATTCTCTTTTCCCTTCTACTGTTCTCACCATTCTCCATTCTCGCATAGGTTCTTGCTCACTAGCTCACCTGGTAGTCTTGATTGTAAAGTCAGATCCACCCACCAACACAATTGTTTTCAACACGACGGTCAACAATATGTATGGTCTGGTGTTATCGCGTGTCAACAATATGTATGGTCTGTTGTTATCCAAGACAAATTTGGATTAGCAGAAATATTTGTTAAGTAAAAGTCATCAACTGTATCGAGTTGTCCATTTTGTTCAAAGAAAATTGCTTATTGGTTGGGCATCGCATGGGCAAGTTGAGTTTGGGTGAATATATTTTGTACTTGAGCAAGTAGGCCTAGTTTCTTTTGGGCCATAGGTTGTGGCAAGTCTATGACCCTGGTGAGTTCATGACTTCGCCCAATTCATCATCTTTAGTTTTTAAACAGGTTGAGATGCTTTAAACCAAGCTAACTAACTTCATTTGAAGCAATCCCCGAAGACATTTGAACGTACACTTGATACTTCAAAAATTTATTAAATCGTAAAAGTTATAATTATGTCTTCAACAGTATTAATAGTCGTTAATAATTATAAAATATATGCTGCTTGATAAATAATGTAATCCCAAACCAATTCCTCTGCTCCTTGCCACTGAAAACAACACCCTATCATTACTGAAAGCCTTATTTAGTGGTGGTCGGAGAAACAGATAAAAATAATAAAAAAAAAACCTTGTAATGAATTTTATGGGACGTATTTCAATCGTTCTCGCAAAGCATATCATGTAAAAACTTTATCAAAATAAGATATTAATTATCTAAAAAATATGTGATAATTACGAAACAGATATTTCTATAAAATATACTTTCTATCATAATTTATACAAATAAGCAAGAAAAACAGTGAAGGTGGAATTTGAAGAGGGGGAGAGAGAGTGAGTAGAGGAGAGGGGGAGAGAGAGTGAAAGAAAGAGGGGGAGCTCGGGTAAAGTAAGTCTTGCACTATAATTTTGTATTCCTATCTTTCCATCTGTTTCTTCGCCAATCGAGATATTGCTCACTTGCTCTCGTGCGCTCTGGTATCCTTTTCTCGCTTTCCATCGATTCTGCAAATCTGGTTCTCCTCTAGTGCAGCACATCGTTTGATTCTGAACATAAATATTCCCAGTTAAGTTTGCCGATTTCGGGGCGGATCTCAGTTAAAATTTGTAGCTTTTGAAGAAAAGGAGGGGAAGAAAGAAGATTATCCCATTGCCAAAGAGGAATTTGTGTTGATTTGATCCGACCAGTTTGCGTTGAACTTTATCGGAGTGAGTTTCTTGCCGAAGAAATCGACGGATCTTTCAATAGAAAACAGGGGAGTAAGCTGTTTAGCTATCCTGGAGTGCATACTCGATTTTTTCAGGGCCCTTAGCATGGGCTCTTGCCTGTCGTCCGACGGCGACGGCGGGCGGAGCAGCTTGGGGCCGTCGTCTTTGGGAACTGGGTCGCCATCGCTGGGTTCTCGTAAGGGAAAGAGGGTGGGAAGGAGGCAGAGTTCGTCCCGGCACTCGTTGTTGGAGTCGAACCGTGTTGATGACCAGCTCCATCGGATCCCGGGAAGGATGTGTCTTAATGGGGAAAGCAACATAGCCTCCCTCTTTAGCCAGCAGGGAAAGAAAGGAATTAACCAGGACGCCATGATTGTTTGGGAGGTAAAGAGAATTATCTATAGTTTTATTTCTTTGTCTGAAACTTTTTCTCGTATTTCGGTTGCTTTCTTTAACTACGTTTTATTCTGTTTACGTTAAAATCTGAACTCACTTTAATTTGTCTGGTATATTTTATTTTATTTTATTTCTGTGGCTTTTTTGCTTCATTTAATTAATGGTGGATCATGGGATTGTGTATGCTCATACATGTAAATATAAGATATTTACAAGTGCCTAACAAGTTTAAATAGGAGGATTCATACCTAACTGATTACAGTGACAAGAGCAAGGCTAGGGTGGTTACCTTTTCCAACACAACGCTTGCTAGTCTGGGAGCGTGACTTGCCGAAGTTAGAAAGTTCCAAGAAAGATCCTCAGCTGGAGTCGCAAGGAACAAGTACAGATTCACACCAGAGGCTAAAAGCCTCGCTCTCCAGCAGATAATAACCCCAGAGGCTAGTCACACTTGCCCAGGTAGGCAAGCTATTATGAGCGTTTCAACACAGCTATAGTGAAGGAATATCTCAAAGGTCAAGAGTTTGATCCTCTTGACTTGCCCTGTTCTCAGTTCGTGATTATTGTGACCCAAAGCAACTTGCCCTTCGCATTTAACAACCTTAGAATTATACATATAGGCTTGTCTTCATGACCAGATTACTCTCCTACCAACTCATAGGCTCATCCATATGATGTTGGCGGTGTGTTGTATTGGAGAGGCTACATGGTGAAGGTTAAATTTTTGTTATACACCTGAGAAAGTGTCTTATAGACGTGAGAAATAAGCTGGCAGAGTAAATTTGGTCGTGCATTGTAAGATAGGAGTATGATATGGGTCAGCCTAGGTTTAGGGCTTAAAATTTTAGACAGTTGTAGGCTGACTTCAATTGACTAGATCTCTTAATATACTAATCCAAAAATTTCAAATCACTTGCAAAAGTTAGAGAATAAGGTCTAGTTGTGATATGGAAGTTTTCATAATTTTTGGAGGAACTAATATATATTCTTAGGATTTTATAAGTGGTTGGGTCCAAAAAAATCTTGTTTGGTCGATTTGACTTGTTAGGGTTTAGGATTTTAGTGGCAGGGTGTAGACTTAACAAAAATTAGGGAAATTGCTAGGGAATGATAGAGAGATGCTTTGAGATGTGTTATGCAGTTTTTCATAATTCTTAGAAGAGTTTAAGGCCACCAAATCCAAACTTGATCAGCAATTGGTTAGATTTCATCCTAGATTTTGTTTATCACTATAAGGGGATCAAAGTGGGGATTTTCATGAAATTTTCTTAAGAAAATATTTTTTAGAGAATAGTAGGGATAAAGCCACATAAAATTACAACAAAGTTTACAGAAAAACACAAAAAGATAAATCCAATAAACTCTATCAAAGATGATTGAGTGATAGTGATCACCAAACCCTTCTCCTATTGCCAACCTCCAAGCCAAGCCCCCATTTCGTATTCACTTTAACATCATAACATCTAAGCACTTCATTCCATAGCAAATGAAGTTACAACAAGAGAAAAATTAAATTCAAAAAGAGGATGTAAAAGTAAAGAGGTGGCCCACACTAGTAACCACCATAACTGGTCCCTCCTTCCATGTGTGACTGACCCCTCCACCTTGGTTAATTGGCTTGGCCAATACTCACTTCATGCATGGTATGCTTAATTAACTTGATTAAGTGTAACTAGCTAATTAACTCATAAAATCCATAATATAAATACTAAATATTATAAATAATTACAATACTCACTTCATGCGGCGCTCGAACATCTGACTTTGGGGCGCTCAAAAAGTGACATTATCTGATTTTGCCAAAACTTCACACACAAGACTTGGGACACATTCTAGAGCACACCCAATCAATTACATGCATTAAAGCACTCCCAAAGACATACAAATTATTGGAAAACTCAAAATTTTAAACCTTAAAATTTTCAAATTGGGTCGGAACTGAATGCTGAACTTGTATGTGTTACATGAACATTGTTAATTTTCACTCGCCTCTGAAGGCCACTCAAAGCTTCTTGAATTGCATTCATAAGTCATTCCTCTATATCTTGTAGTTGAGGTGGGTGATGAATTTAATGTTCTCTATGTTCATTTAAGATTCTTGTTGAAGTTGGCATTGTTCAGGGTCTTTTTACTTACACTAGCATCATTCTATGCTCATCGCACTTAAGAGGATAATGAATATATATTTATTCATGGATGACAGTTAGCTTTACCAGTAGGCCTACTCGAAGAGTACAAGAACCTGTGAGTGAGAGTAGAGAGTGTTGAGGGGGAGTTGACGAAAGCTGGAGATCTCAAACAAGTAGACTTTATCTACTAGTAAAAGAGTTTTTTTTTTTTTTGTATTTTCCTAGGATCTGTTGCGTATTCCTTGAACTATTCTCATCATCCTTTACATATAATTTTCTGGAGGATACATAAAAAGATTAGATAGAAAACCCTAAAAATACAAAGCTACACAGAGTATATGTGCAACGCTACACCACACTCTGTACATGATTCATCCCCTGATTGGCGAGAAAGCTAGGATGTTTTTTTTTTTAAGAGGGGGAGG